TGATGAATTGGAGAATGATGTCTGAATCAAAGTTGTAGCCAGATGAGTTAGCTTTCCAACGCATTTTGAATCGCCTCAATCGGATATCGGAATACAAAGTTATGATAAAAACACTGAAAGAAGGTGCAACTGTCTGTTTAAAACAAGAAATTTCGTTACATAATCCGTTAAAACAACAAATTCCGTTAATTTTTCCAATTAAAAACAAGAAATTCCGTTACATAACTACTTTTAAAATATAGAAGATATAGTCTTTGTTGATCCCCATTTTTTTTTAAAATACATTTTTCTCTTTTTTTCAACCATATATTCTTCAATAAAATAATATTACACGCGTATTCAAAACTTTTCTTTATTTTTTAACCAAACATTTTACATCAGTATACTATTTCAAAATACATTTTATAAAAAAAAATGGGGCTCAAACATGCCCATACTTATTCATCAAACTTATCACTTAGCGTCATTTAAACAAGTGTTTAACACTAGTGATATTAAATAGCATTACTCATTCCAATATGGTATTATATTTGTTTTAAAAAATAAATAAATAGAAATGATGTGGTTTATGCTAAGAGAATAACATGGCCATAGTGACGATGGAGATGGTAGCGGTGGTGACGATGCTAAATCCATGATTTGTGCATGTATGTGTGGTTGGTTGGAGATGAAGGTCCGGGTGAATTTGAGGTGGTGGTGGATCTGAGGTGACAACGCCGTTTTGTATGGGGCCTGCGGTGATGGAGTGGGGTAGGGTAGGGTGGGGGAGGTAAAGGATAATTTGAAACCATTTAATGGGATAGTTGTGATCAGTTCATTAAATAATTTGTGACTACTAAATATGTTGTGATTTATAAATATGTGTGACTTGTGATTAAATTTGCAATTGTGATCCACATTTTTATATTTTTGTAATTGTGACGTTATGTGATGTGTAACCAGTACGTAATTATTGCCATAAATTATATATTACTATGACTTTATTCTATTCAATTATCTA